ACTCATCAAAATTAACCGGTAACTCATAAAAGTCACTGTCTGCACACAACTTTGTGAAATTCACAATTGACTGCCACACCTCTTTCAGTAAAGTTGACTATTGAAGTCCATGCAAACAAAAAAAAGTTTGATGTTTTTTTCATTACTGGAAAACCATTATGTTAGAAACCAAACTGTCTTTCAAAAGCAGATGCTGACAATAATTTTATGTTATGTTATATTGCAGCAATGTTATTTGGATGCTACTTTCTAAACCTTTAAAATTCATCTGCTTGTCAGCAGCACTAAAGGCCATTAAGTGTGTCATCTTGTATTTACTAGTTTTATTACCACGTGTTTTGCCCTTTTAATTGTACTAGTTTATAATTTTCCCAGGTGGTCAGGAGTTCACACCCCTTTGTTTGGCTGTCACCGTGACAGCTCAAATACTAGAGGGGAACAATTTGAGTTTATGCCAAATAATAGATTTTGTTGGATATCCGTTTCAGTTTCCACCATTAGACCACAGAGAAATAAAACCACAAGCACTATAGAATCTATGATGGAGAATCATGATTTAAATCTACCTACAGATAAGTTTGTAGTCATGAAACAGCTTTGATATATATTTCACATGATTTTGGATTAACAGGTTTGAAGTTTGTACTTGATTTTTTGACAGATTGAGTCTGTTACGGTCTGACTTATCGGTGTCTAGCTGTATCACATGTGAAATAAGGAACTAATTATAGCAGTGCATTACAGCACAGATAAAACACAGATAAGGAACTGAGAGCAAAACTATGTTACGCAGTATACATATCACATGGATACTAATTTCCCTGCTACATAACCTTCAAAAACAGCCCCATCACCCTCACTGTTACAGACAGAGGAAATTGCACTTCAGACATAAAACATATACAGAACAAGCGGTCATAAAACCATGTGTAAAGGGGGAAAAAAAGGGTATGAGTTGCTCATGAACATGGACAATGACTGCGGCATTTCCAGTAAATAACTTTCACATGCAGTAGTGTCAGTGTGGCGTATGGAGACTGAATGACCGATCAGGCTTTCAGACGACTGGCTGCGGTCAAAAGATCTTTTATTAACTGCAGTAAGCATGTTTTAATATTACTGGAGTAGGATTTAACATGTTGTGACTAAAACTGTAGTCTTGAGTGAGACTGAAAGACACCATATCGTCTGCATCTTCTTTATTTTTCTCCCTTTCTTATTACTTTTCATTCATTGTAGGATTGCACAAAGTAATGCACAATGTAAGGACAAACCCAACCGGGTGCTTACGTTCAGGATATCACATCATGGCCGGTCCTCTGATCCATACAGCGTCAAAATAGAAGTCGATATTACCTAAATAAAATAATGAACTGTGTGTTGAATTATAAATGTAAGAAGATGACATATTGCTGGCATCAAAATGTCAAGCAAATTGGCTAAAGTAACACAGGAGTTAGTGTTCACCTGGTTGAAATGTGGTATTTATGTGCCACAATCAAACTTACCATGTTTTACTTTATTATCAACAGAACCAGCAACAAATATGTAAATAGGAAAAACTTAATTGTGTGTTCTACTATACTGAAGTATGATCTAAGTGATCATAAAGAGGAGGGGACAAGAAAGTTCACAGTCTTTCCCACTCCTCGCTAAATGTTGGCTTTAGTTCACAATTTCTTGTTTGCCAGATGAAATTGGAAGAGTAGCGAGTTAGCCATTTCCTCATTCCTTATGCATCTTAGTGTAGAGGTTATTTGAGTAACAGAATGGTTGCTAATTAGTTCATTGGTTAATTGACAGAAAATTAATCATTGACAATTTTGATAATTCAAGTAATTCATTACGCAAAAAGGCCAAACATACAGTCAAATGTGAGGAGTTACTAACTAGGTCTGGTCACACCAGCATTTAAAGGCAAAATCAATTAATTATTGAGTGGAATCATAGCAATTAGAAGATTTTCTAACTATCAGTTAACAAGCTTGTTATTAGCCTTTTCATTAAAACTTTTGTTAAATGGAATGATGGACAATCCCGAAAACAATAAGTGTCACAATACTGTGAAAATATAAAGAGACTTGGGGAGCTATTTGTGACTGACTAGCGCTTGCATCTTCCAACTGGTTAGCAGTGTACTTTACCAACTAGCCCTGAGAGTAGGCTCTATGTCAACAAGCCTCAAGAAACAAATACTGATTAATTTGTAGAATCTTTGTACAGTTGGCTGGACAAAACAAGCAATTTGTAGATGTCAACTCAGAAATTGTGATGGGCATTGTCTCTATCTTGTGAAATTTTATATAGACAAAAGAACAAGTCTAAAAGTAATCAACAATGATTAATAAGACTCAACATAACCTTGACAAATATCAGAAAGATAAAACTACATGATGGTGGAGCTTCATTCTGTAGTTCTGAATACAGTTGTGGATCTAACGTACAGTTTATCTGACAATTTTACACCTTTTCTCCTTTGGAGAAGTGTAAAAATGCCAATAAAGCTTCCCAAAAGTCAATGGTTGACAGAGGTTAACTTTTTTCTAGACTATGTGGTAAATTGACTGTAACATGAGGATATGGCACAGCAGCCTACTGTAACTTCTCCCTGCATTTAACTCACTGGTGAATTACCACGTTTGACACTAATTTGGGTCAATGGAAAACGAGGAGCCAAGAAGGATGCCAATGCCGGAGTCAGCATCTTTAACATTTTGGTTTTTGGGGTTTTGTTGAAATTGTAGTTAATGTGCAAATGTTTCCTCAAAGCTCAAATGTGTAGACTGTGCTCACTGCTCCCGAACCTGGACTTTTTTTTTGGTAGCACCAGTAGATTTGCTAACATAGGAAATATTTTCTCAGAGCAGCTTTTTAGTGCGCGAGTGTCTGAATGGAGTTCTACATCTCTGAATGATGACAACTTTGACTGTTGTGTTTATGAACCTATTCTGTTTTTTAAATAAAATTTTTATCAACTTTCCCTAACACCAAAACTGGAGATGTTTTCAAGCCACTATCAGCTAAAATAACCCTGATCAAAATCAAACTCCTTCTTTGCTGTACCCTACTTCCTATCCACCTCAACCTGCTAGTGTTGCAGCACAGTTGTCCAAGTTCTGACTCCCCTAACTTCACTTACTTTCACTCCTTCAAGCCTTTAGAAATTCTTGAAACTGAAATATCTGCAAAGCAGAAATCATTCTTTGGTCAAAATGTGCACAACTCATGTCCACACTAAACCCCTGTGATCAAGTGTTTGATGCCTGTGGTTGTTTCAGATTGACGTGGATAGGAAAGATAGCAAAATAAAAACAGCTTCTTAAATTTAAACAAGACAAGCCTAAAGCAAATAGAATTGTATTGCCTGAAAATGAATACAATAAACCATTACAGAGGAATGAGCCATTGCTTTTGTCATACAGAGACAGTAATATGGTTTCCGGGCATGCAGAGAATCAGTCTTATATTTTACTACCTCTAAAGCATGTTGTACACTCACTCTACTACACTCTCGCACGACTATCAAGTCTCTGTCTGTCTATGTAACTACTAATGACTAGGAAGTGGTGGCTGGGGTGTGGAACATGAGCTCTGACCGAAATATTCAGACAGCCAGCAAGAGTGAGACAAGAGCGAAATGAGAGGGAATAGAGACGGAGAGTCACAGAAAGAGAGACCGAAGATGAAAGAGATACAGAAACAGACGACCAGAGAGAAACAGTGGGAGAACGTTGGTTTCCTGAAATCCAAGCTGAGGGAACATGAGAGCGGAAGAAAGGCAGGAGTAAGAATACTAAGAGACAACCTGGCTTCAGCATACCAAGACATCACTGTCTCTATACTTTTACTGATGCAGTTCAACAATTTGTCTAACAGCTGGCATTTTCCACCATTTCAGCAACAACCAGTGCCCTCAGAGCTGAGAGTTTACGAGCAGCAATGTCCAGGAAGTACGCAGCAGATGCTACCTAATGTCTCCCTTCATGTCTATCACAATGCAGCTTCACCTCAATGCAAACAAAAAGGGTATTGCCTCATGTCGGAATAAATTTCACTGACCAGCTTCTCAAATGTTTTAGTCCAACTCACAGTTATAAACTTTATTTATTCAGGTAATGTCAAACCACATAACAGAGTCCTCGTCATCTTCCCTTGACTGGGGTTTGAGCACACAAAGGACCACACAAGTGATTTTGTATGCTTTAGCCCATTTACTCAACATTTTGATAATCAATTATTATTTATCAAAAACGCTTTATCTCACAACTCATAAATTTCACAAAGGATAATGCAGACTTGATGTGTACAGTGATGGATTAACCAACTCAAGTACCTTTCAAGAGTCTACCTATACAGAAATGAATGGAAATCAAAAACGGACTCTAAACACAGGAGAAATACATTCGGTGGATAAAACAAACTGGTATGATCCATCAAATTCCTATTGTTTAGCTTTATTGAGCTTAGTTTAGTCACACAAAAGGACAAAATAATTAAGTGGATAGCTTCAGAAAATTCAGGCAATCACATTTACAGCCCTGTAAACAAACTGATACTCATCAAAATTAACCGGTAACTCATTAAAGTGAAAGAGGAAAGAAACCATAAAAAGAGAAACAGAAATGGTTTAGCATTTAGAGTCACAAAACTCACTTGACTAAAACAATTAATAAACCACCAAGTGTTAGCCTTTATACTACTGGTGTTCTAGGTTACAAGAAGTGTGCTAGCAAGACACCTGAGTCAGTAAGGTCACAGCCAGGCCAGAACAAGTCCATGCTGAAATCACTGTCCACACCGTAATTAAAAATGACTGAAGGCCTCTTAGCAGAGGATAACTGTGGCTGGTCATTCTGAATGAAGTGCTCAGCCTACACTAACTCCCTCCACATTCCACCAGCTGAACACCAACAGGTGACATAACTGACAAGAAAATATGACACTGGACGAAGTTGCCATGTGCGTTTGCTAAATTAAAACTAAAAAAAATTAAAAACTACCTTTGATGTGCTGGAACTGTTACTGGCAGCTTCTAAGTGAGCTGGACAGAGTGGGAGAAAGCAGAGGAAGGAAATTAATGCAGAGTACAGCAAAAGTTCCAAGGACAACATTGTTTAAAAAAAAAAAAAAAAAAAAAAAAAAAAAAAAAACACATTGCATGCTACTGTGTGCTCTGATTTCTACGGTCTCTGCAATTTCTGCCTCTTTAACTGTGTCCTTTTATTGCTTTTTTCACTGACTCTGTATTTTAACATTACAAGCCTTCGCGGAAAAGGAATATTGTAGCAAAGGTTGTTAATCCAACCAGTTTCAGCCAAAGCTTCAATGTAACTTCGGGCTCACACAAAAACTAACACATCCAAAGTGCAAGATTAAGTCAAAAGCTCGAAATGACTGGTGGATTCATTCTAATGGATGCTCATAAAAAGGGAAAGAGGCTGAAAGAAGAGGGAACATGGTTTCTCCCACAGCCACACACACACACACACACACACACACACACACACAGGTTAAAGTTAAGTTTTACATTTCTAGTAATCCTTTTATGTCAGTGGTGACAAGTGCAGTTGTCTCTATTTTCATATCGTCTGATCATGGCTACTTGAGATCACCGATTGGCGGTGTTACATTGCAGCAAGTCAGTGAAATGCCAGCATGGAAGAAACAGCCTTATTAGCTTTAAGACAAACCACCAGAAACATCTGTAAATGCACAGTACAGTGTTTCCCACAAAATTAAAAGGAGGGTGCAATCAATATGTACAGCGTGTCAACCTCAACAACCCAGTTGTATTCCAATGTTAACATATCCGTCTCTGACATTAACAGCATTGTGTTAAGAAAATAGATAGACTAACTTCTCAAAGCTAACTTCAATGCATTAGTTTTTCTATAAACACACGGCTCTGTTATGATGCGTTTATGAAAGAGAGAGGGGGGGGGGACAAGCAAGCGGAGGTGCTGAGTGAATCAATGCGCACGTTTTCTGACGGCTCTTTCAGAGGTGTGTCAAGCAGGCTGCAGACTTTTTCAAAGTAAAAGCTCAGTTCAACTCCAAATAAAGCATTACAGTAAACAAGCATCTCGTGCTTTTATTTTGTAGGCAAAACCACTAAAGAGGAAGTGATTATGTGAGTAACTGTTGTTGTCATGACTGAGATCCATTTCAGCACCGCTATCAAAGTATTTATTTATTTATATATATTTTTGCCGCTATCAAAGCACCATAATATTGCTGGCGGGCAGATTTGGCAAGGATACATAATCAGAGAGAATAAACATGTTTACCATGCCAATGTTTGTATAAACTTTATTTAATGTGTGGTTTATAATAGACTGTGGTGCAGAAACAGACAATGTTACACACTGTTGGCTTACATTTTCCATGTTATCTGTCAGTGGCCAAGTCACAATAACATGTGGTTTTACTGAATAACTAACTAATAACTAAATATAATTTCTTAATAAATATACTTAAAGAAATCTCATTTCTTGACTGGCCACTCTCTGCTGCTTCAGAAGAGACACCTTTTTTTGCTGTATCAGCCACCATAGCTGTCCTACGCTCTTTGAAAGGTTAGCGGGAAGTAATAAACTGGACAGATGGTTGCAAGTCCCAACCCTTGCCACTAGATGCCACTAAATCTTACACACTGAACCTTTAAATAGTATGTGGCGGTCAGCGTTGATATTGTGGTGTGGCGTGTCGCCACAAATAAATCAATGAATGGAAAACACTGCAGTGTGGTGCAAATTCTGATTGTGAGTTAGTTAAAATCGCCGTAATATCGGCACATAAGCCATCCAAACGCCAATCGGAACACAATAGCGAACAAGCAGTTACTATGCCACATTTTAGACTTACTTTACTGTTCTCTGTTACAGGCTTCTGTAAAGAATGGCTATTAAAAAAATGCAAGGGGGGGCTTCCATGAGAGAGCACTGGAAGCAGTGGGAGTAAACAGCACCACTCCTCTGTTGTCGCCATGCAGAATTCCACTTCCTGTGTCCACTCCCAGGACAATGACAGCAGCTTTGGGTGAGACAGGAAGTGTAGCTCAGGGGGGCTTCAACATAACGACACCATAACAGCAGCATCATGGCATTGTTAGTACATTTCTATTACACATTCTGAAAAATATGCTTCTACTGATACGTGCATAAGTACGTATTATATTAATACAGTGACATACTGATCTCTTTTTTAATTGGGTAAGCCGTTTTGTTTTTCCATCTTCTCAATGGGAACAAACATTATACATTGCTTGATTTATGAACTCAGTCAGATACACAAACCATGACAAAGGAGTTTTGGAAAAAACTGGCATTCAAGACTTCACAATCAGCCAAATTTGAAGTCAAACAATGAAGACAATGAAGTCAAACTTTACTATGGCGCCACATACAAATTTTTAAGTATTCCATTGCAGCATTGTTTACTTCTAAACGTTTACTGAACAAAAATGATCCAAAACCCACATAACAAAAAAGAGCGACAAAGCCAGTTTTAAACCATGTTGTGCAGGAAAAAAAAAATATATATTTTAGACATTCACTCAGTCACACAGTGTGGACTGATGTGACCAGACTCCACAGGGCGCAGAACACCTTGTTGTTATGACTATGTTTGTCAAGATTGGCAAAAGTAATTCCTGCGATTAGTACGCAGTCGCCCTAAAAATGACCCAAAACTGTTATCTGGCTGCTAAAGTCTTCATGAGATGATCAATCTGAGCTTTATGTTTTTGGGCTGCAGTTTTTCCTGTTTGTAGAATCTAGATGGAGCAGAGGAGACGACAGTGTTGGCTGATCCTGAAACACCTGCTTGGAAACCTGTTGCCAGTCAACTGTGTGTCTGCTTGTCTCTTACCAGCACTTCGGTCTTTAGTAACTCTGTTGTTACCTCTTTAACAGTGTACTCACAGTGGGCTAAATCTCTTGGAGATTTTATGTATCCATCCATGTGAGTTTTCTTGTTTCCTAACAAAGGAAAGCATCTTCATCCAGATATGAACTGCTGGTGATGTGCGAGTGAGCCAGAGAGCAGTTCAGTCAAAGCCATAAAACTAAAGTGTACACTAATGTTTTAATGGTTAACTATATATCATAAGCCAGTGGTGGAGGGCTCTTCAAGGAAACAGCTTGCGATTGTAATTAAAGGCCAAAGTACATAATAAAACTACTACACGATTACATGTAATAATTACAGAGAACAAAGCGTTCTCCAATTACATCCGAGTTAAAGGAAAACCCATTTTCCAACATACTCCAAACTTCATTTCATGAAGCATTATGTGCAGTTTTCTCAACATACCTATTTATGTTGCACTGAGAACCCTCCTCTCTTCCCCTTTACTCAATAATTGCCTTAATTATGGCGTAATTAAGCAACTTTAGGTGGAGAGATTGGTTTCCCACATACTGTATGACTATTTAGTATTGGTGTAAAACGCTCAGTCTAAAACAAGGCCCTTGCTCTGGGAATGACCTCACATTTACAATTTATTGTTTTAGAGAGTGGAACAATGTTTTTCCTTTTAGACTCCATTCTACCTCTGGAAATATCAATATGACGCTGCATGGTCTACATTTGGCGAGTGGAATAGGAAAAGTACACCACCCTCCAATGAAAAAGGCCATCAAATGGAAGGCATCATCAACAGCTGTTGTTTTAAAGGCATAGAGTTTTTAGATTTAACAGTTCTCTGGGAAATCATATCTAGTAATGTTCATGGTGACTTCTATATTCTAAAATATAACAAAATTGTTAATTAAATCTGTATGTTTTTACAGCATGTTTTCAGTGTGAGAAGAAACAGGGAGTCTGTTGAACCTTAGTGAAATTCAACTGCACCAACTTTATCAACAGCCATAGCTGCAGCTAAAAAAAGGATCACACTTAAATGCCAAATGAAACAACTGCATGACACATATACTGTATGTAAAAAGCAAGGTTGCATGCTGACTGACATGAACATGAGAGGGGAAAAAAATAATAACCGGTATCTTATAAAGCAAAAGGCACAAAAAAGAAGACATTAGCTCATTGCAGATATATCAGTATCGACATACATGTCAGTCGATAAGACAAGAAATTCAACAGTTTGTCCAACAGAGAGATGCGACAAGTTGATGTAACTATAAAATGTCCTGCAAAGTTCTTTTTTTGGTTACAATTAAAAATCATTATCGGATTTTTAAAACTCTCAAATATCAATATATCTCAAACGTCCTGTACCTGTCTACACAAAAAAAGTTTACTAACAATTAACAAATCTGGTCATAATGTACTGTCGACAGCAGTTGGCGAGGTGTTATCAAGCAGCAGAGGCAGAGAGGGCAGAAAAAAGAAGAGGAGGGAGGAGGAAGACAGTGAGGGGATAGGTGGTATCATTGACTCAGATTATGCACACTCCATTACCCCCTCAAAAAGAAAGTTGGTTGGGTTTGTCGGACTCAGTCAGCCGCCCCTGGCCTGGGGGAAGACAGCGCTGAGGAGCAGCAACATTGGACACGTCTAAGACAACCATATCAACGGAGGATGTGTGTACAAAAATGTAAGACCTAAACACAAATGACAACAGTATACATGCACACAATTGGATGGGTAACAGGGATTGAGAGCCCGTCTGCAAACTCACACTCAGAGCAAGAGAGGCTGAAAGTGCCAAAAGGACTCATCTCGTCTTTCACAGCTGAGTGGAGATGAGCTGTAATGACTGTAGCTGCTCACACAGCACAGTGCCAAGATGCCTCCAACCTCACCGTGATGAACACAGATGTCCTCTAATGTGCACCAAGATATTAACACTGTATCCTATGTGGGATACCTGTGATGAGGTCAGGCATTTAGACAAAACACATCTACACATAAAAGAGTTCCTTCTCAACCTCAGGGTACATGGATTTACCATCTTCATGGTCAATTAGCTGCAGTGAATTTGATCATATTAGCTGCCAAAGGTTTCTTTTGTGAAGCATTGCATAATGTCACTGAAGATTTCTTCCTTACGGGCATTCAACACCTACATTTAGCCAAGAC